CCAGAACTAGGGCTTGAGCCTAGAGCTTCACACACTTAGGCAAGCATTCTATCAACTGAACTATATGCTCAGTCCCAAGTGTCAAAAGAACAAACCAAAAAAACCACAACTATTTACTCGGTGGGAAGTGTCCGGCACACACTGCACGTGCACAGAAGTTAAAGAGCAGAGCCTTTTCTCCTTCCACCGTGTGGGTCCCAGGGGTGAAACTCAGGTCCTCAGGCCCGGTAGCGGGTATGTTTAACCTATAACCCACTGAGTCATCGCGCCAGCCTAGCCCCAGGATTTTTGACTCAGACACAGAATTTCAAGATGAGTATGATGAGGGTTTTTATTTTTTTATTTTTATTTTATTTTTTTTTTACATTTCTGTGTGTGTACTTTCCCATGAGCGCAGGTCAGAGGATAACTTTCAGGAGTCAGCTCTCTTCTGAAAGGCTTGGCATCAGACATTTTTACCTGCCGAGCCATTTAACTGGTCCCTTAGAGATTTTCTTAAATACATACACACACACACCACGAGATTTAAGAAAGACATTCAGGAACCAGCAATGCTGGCACATACTTGGGAGGCAGAGGCAAGCGGGTCTCTGAGTTTTGAGGCCAGCCTGGTCTACAGAGCAAGTTCCAGGACAACCAGGGCTACATAGAGAAACCCTGTTTTGAAAAACCAAAACCAACCAAACAAACAAACAAAAGAAAGAAAGGTGCTGTGGAATATTCCTTTACACCATGTGAATATATGTCTCTGTGACTGGTTTAATAAAGAAGCTGGGCCGGGCGGTGGTGGCGCACGCCTTTAATCCCAGCACTTGGGAGGCAGAGCCAGGCGGATCTCTGTGAGTTCGAGGCCAGCCTGGGCTACCAAGTGAGTCCCAGGAAAGGCGCAAAGCTGCACAGAGAAACCCTGTCTCGAAAAACCAAAAAAAAAAAAAAAAAAAAAAAAAGAAAAAAAATAAAGAAGCTGACTGGCCAATAGCTAGATGGGGAGAGATTGGGCAGGAAAGCCAGACTAGGAGAATGCTGGGAGGAAGAAGGGCTGAGTCTGACATCACAAACAGACTCAGAGAAAAGCAAGATGGGCATGCCATGCTGAGAAAAGGTACCAAGCCACATGACAAAGCATAGATAAGAAACATAGGCTGGGTGTGGTGGTGCATGGCCAGGCATGGTGGAGCACACTGTTAATCCCAGCACTCAGGAGGCAGAGGCAGGCAGATCTCTGTGAGTTCAAGGCCAGCCTGGTCTACAGAGTGAGTTCTGGGATAGGCTCCAAAGCTACACAGAGAAACCTTGTCTTGAAAAACCAATAAATATATATATATATATATATATATATTATATATATATATAATATATAAATGTAAGAGTTAGCTAATAACAAGCCTGAGCTATTGGCTGAGCATTTATAATTAATATTTGTGGGATGACTCATCCCTAGCAGGCTTGAGGCCCAGCCAAGTAAAAAAGATACTTTCTGAAAGCCAACCTGAATCTGCCTAAGGGCTTTAGCAACAGCAGCTGAAACATGATCTGGAGATGACCTGGACCAATGAGAGACAGCCATGTCATACCAGCAGATGCATATTCATCAGACCTCCCCCCAAGGAGGGGTGGAGGGTATATAAAGCTTTCCTCTTGCTGAATAAACTGAGCTTGTTTTGAAATTCTCCAGGAGTCTGTGTCATTGACTCTGTGCCTACTTGGCCCCCCTCCCACAAAGGGAACAACAGCAAGAACACTGCTACAAATATTGAGTCTCTGTATCAATTATTTGGGAACTGGCAGATAGGAAAGAAAAGTCTGCCGACAGAAAGGTACCTAGGAAAGGGTAAGGCCCACCTCAAAGTGTGGGTATGGGCTTCTCCGAGAGCTGGCTTTGGTGGCATCTGAAGGCACTCACAAGGTGGCTAAGGAACTTCTTGGGTGGAGGACATCATAGGGTGGTTGGTTCCTGATGTGTCAAGGACAGGATTGTAGCCAATTAGGTAAAACCCTCCTTGCCAAGGACTGCATGGGAAATTCAGGTGTTTTCACTATAATTTTGGGAGAGTTCCAGAAAACATGTGAGCAAGGAGTGAGGTCATACTTACAGTAATCTATGCTCAGGCCTTAAAAATGCTTTACTGCTGTGGGCTGCAGAGATGGCCCATGGTTTTAGCTTATAGCTAAAACTTATTACATAAGCCAACCCTGAAGACTTGAGTTCAGTACCTAGAATCCACATAAAGGTGGGAGAGAGAACTGACTCCACAAAGGTGTCCTCTGCCCACCACATGCAGACTCCAGTATATTTTATTTATTTATATTTTATATTCATGGGGTTTTACCTGCATGTATGTCTGTGTGAGGGTGTCAGATCCCCTGGAACTGGAGCTACAGACAGGTGTAAGCTGCCATGCAGGTGCTGGGAATTGAACCTGGGTCCTCTGGAACAGGAGCCAATGCTCTCAACCATTGAGCCATTTCTCCAGCCTCTATTATTTTTAAATTTTTCTATTTATGTGTATTTGTTTTGCCTGCATGTATATCTGTGCACTGTGTACATGCAGGGCCTGCAGAGGCCAGAAAGCAGTGCTAAGTCCCCCAGAACTGGAATTACAGTTCATTCTGAGCCACTAAGTGGTGCTGGGATTGGAACCCAGGTCCTCTGGAAGAGCAGCCAGTGATCTTATCTACTGTGCAGTCACTAGAGCTCCTTATTACTATAATCACTTTGTTTGTTTTTCAGGACAAGGTTTCTCTGTGTAACAGTCCTGGATGTCCTGGAACTCTCTATAGACTAGGCTGGCCTCGGACTCTGAGATCTGCCTGCCTCTGCCTCCTAAGTGCTGGGATTAATGGTGTGTGCCACTGCCCAGTTCATTTACTGCCTTTTGAAATTCCTTGTAAAAATTACATGTACTTAGTATGTGTATCTTAGTTAGGGTTTCTATTGCTGGGACAAAACACTATGACCAAAGCTACTTACGGAGGGAAGGATTAATTTGGCTTATACTTTCACATCATTGTTCATCATCTAAGGAAGTCAGGGCAGGAACCTGGAGGCAGGAGCTGGTGCAGAGGCCATGGAGAGCTGCTTACTGTCTTGTTCAGTCTTCTTTCTTACAGAACCCAGGACCACCGGCACAAGGATGGATGGCACCACCCACCATGGGCTGGGCCCTCCCACATCAAATACTGATTTAAAACATGCTCTACAGCTGGATCTTATGGAGGTATTTTCTCAATTGCGGTTCCCTCCTTTCAAATGACTCTAGCTTATCTGAAGTAAGTTGACCTAAGACTAGCCAGCACAGTGTGTGTGTGCATGTGCCGTATCACACGTGTGGAAGTCAGAGGACAGTTTGCAGGAGTCAGCTCTCTCCTTCCACCATGTGTGTCGCAGGAACTAAGCTAAGGTCATTAGGCTAGTGGCAAGCGCTGTTACCCAGTCATCTCCGCAGTCCTATTTTTAACATCCACACTTGAAAATGTCTTCATGTGGGAGGCCTTCTTGGCAAACATTGTGTTAGAATTCTTATTCTCAGCTGGTGGGTGGCTTCAATTAGACTCTGCATAGCCTTCCCGGGTCCATTTCATTTTATCTTGTTCATTTGTATGGCCTCAACCTCAGAAGGTTCACCTAAGCATACAGTAGGTCTCTATTCCTGACCTGGGCATGTTAGCTCAGCAGAAGATCACCTACCTACCTTGTGTGTTGCCCTAGGCTCCATCTCTGCTCCACAAGAGAGTAAATAGATGGATGCCTGAGTGGGAGGGGGCTCTCACACTCAAATCTCAACTACTCAGAGGCTGAGGAAGAAGGATCATTTTGGGGGGAGGCGGACAGAGCAATCATTTATTAGGAGTTATTAAACTTTATTAAGGGGGAAAGAACTACCCAGGGTTGGAAAGGCTCTGGAGAACGAATACCCAGGTGGTCTCTTAAACACCTCAGCAGTTCCAGGCCAGCTTAGGCAGTAGAGTAAGACGGTCTCAAAAAAAATAAAGTTTCCCTGTGTTTAAAGCCCAGTGGGTAAAGTGCTTGCTATGAAAGCATGAAGACCCGAGTTCGTATCCTCACCCCCCACATAAAAGCCAAGCCTGGCTGCTGGCATCTGTAACCCTAAGGCTAGGGAGGCCAAGAATGGAGGATCCTCTAAGTTGCTGACCAGCCATTATGTCAGATCCCCAGCTTCAGGTTCAGTGGAGACTGTTTCATAAATTAAGGTGGAGTGTACGCAAGGAAGACATCTGACCTCGGGCCTCCTAGTGAACCCACACACACAGGTTAAAAAGAATTTGTTGGGGTGGTGAGATAGCTCAATGAGTAAAGGTGCTTGCTGCCAAGCCTTACTACCAGAGTTCAAAACCAAAGTCCCACATGGAAGGCGAGAATCAAACCCTCAAGCTGTCCTGCATCTCCCCATCTACACAGAAACCACACAAACCAATGAACCAACGCTGAATGCCCAACCCTACATCCCCAGCACTCACTTTTATACTAGGGACGGCACAGTCCAGTGTTTCAAAGGCCCTCTGCTTACTCCTCCCACAACTGGGGAAACTGAGGCTGACTCGGGACGCGCCCCTTGGCACGGCCTGCCCGGATGCCCAGAGAGCCCATCCCCCTCTATTCTTAGCCCTGTAAATTCCACGCGGGGTGGACAGCTTGCTCGCAGCTGAGTCATCGGGATCTCAGAAGAGTTTCCCCCACGTCCTCCCCGCCCGGCAACAGGAAAGAGTCGGACTGCCCAGGGGCCAGAGCGTCACACGGCTCGAGTCGAACTGGTACACAGAAAATCCCCGAAGTCGTCCCACTCTTGGGCTACCAAGACAACGGGGCAGAGAGTCGCCCGGGGCGGCCAAGCCCCGCCTCCGCCCGCAGCGGAAGCCGGAAGCCGCCGCAGGTCCCGCTAGCCCCGCGGCGCCCAACTCGGTAGTCTCGGAGGCTCGCAGGATTGGGGAGAAGATGGCGGAGGAGGAGTGAGTTCGCCGCTCCGGGTGGCGGAGGCGGCAGGGCCGGGCCGGCGGGCGACAACGGGCCTCGGGCGCCCGGGTGGAGCGGCTCTGGCCCAGCCGGCCGGGGTCGGCACGGGGGCGGGATGAGGACTCGGGCCCTGCGGCCTCGCCTAGGTCACACTTCGGCCTCCGCGCGCAGGCCCGTAGCGTAGCCGGGCGGAAGCGCGAACATCGTTCCCTCTCCCAGTTTCCGGTTATCTGAGGTGTCCCAGGCGCTCCTCCTCCTCCAGGAAGTCCTCCCATTGCCACCGCCCTCTTTAACCATCCGCAATCTTCAGTGTTCATGTCTGTCCCCAGAAGGTTTCATTCATTCATTAACTGCTGGTTGTCCGCTCCACTTGGCCGTGGGCGCCAGGAACTGCCCGCAGGTAGCGGCCATTCTGCTATAGTGGGGGACTGTGTAGGCAGGGTGTTTTCCGACCCTGCCAAATGCTTGGAAGGAAATTGAACAGTGTGAGTGAGGGAAGAGGCGTCGGCCCTGGAAGAAAAATGTTCTGTGACCCAAAACTTGAATCCACAGGAGAGATAGGGAGGGTGACAGGTTCAAAAGGCCTGAGCCAAGAAAGAGCTGTAGCTCAGTGAGTCCCCAGTTCGGTCCTTAGCCCTGCCAGGAAAGAAAAGGGAGAGGGTGATGGGTGATGCAGCGCAGCTGGTTGACAGTGTAGAGAGCAGCTCACAGAATGAGGCGAGCTCTAGCTCTCTGGGCATGTGCCGCCGCTAGGCCATCCTCATACGGGGCAGGACACCATTGCTGTGGCACGTTACAAGTTCTGTCTTTGGAATGGGCTCCTGAAAACGAACAAGGAACCCTTCAATGACACTGAACTTGTACTGGGAGCATTTCATTTCAAGTATCTTTTGGCCAGTCAGGTACCAAGTCATTAACACCTTGTGTGTCTGTGCTGTCACAGACACTAAAATAGGCCTCGGCAGTTCGAGGCTAAAGAGGTAATGGGGAGTCAGATGGTTTGAAGTGTGTGTTTGAACACATAGTGTGTTTTAACTATACAGTCTGGAGATGCCGCTGTGTTTCTAGGTCCTGGAGTGGAGCAGTGCTCAGTGGATGCCACCTGTGACAGTCACAACTATGTCACTGCGGCATTAATTCACAAACCTAACAATGAGAGCAAGGACCAAAGCCTAGGGTAGCGTGGGGTGTACGAGAGCAGGCAGTCTGAGCCTTTTGAAATTCAAGAAGGGTTTGGCAGGGCAGGTTAGGGCACTCTGAGCACAGCAACTGGGCAAACTCAAGTGACTTTTTCAGTTTATGGAAGTAGTCCTGGAAGGGATGGGATCTAAGTGGTAGAGCCTTGCCTGCCACAAACAAGGTCCTGGGTTCAATCCCTAGTAACACACACAGTGCATACAAAATCCAAGGAGAATGTAAACTAGGAAAATAAAAGGCACCAAATAAGTAGTATAGAAGCTGGGGTGTGGGTGACCCCAGTCCCACCCGGGGTATTTGTTTTGTTTTTTCCTTTTTGAGACCATTTCATGTATCCCACAGGACTGGCCTTGAACTCACTGTGTATTGCTATGTGTGCCAGGGGATCTTTGCCTTGAACTCCTCATTTTCCTGCCTCTGTCTCCCAAGTGCAGGGATTATAGGCATGGGTTACCATACCCTGCTAGCCTCACTAAGTTCAAAGGACAGACAGCATTTCCTCTTTTTGTTGTTTTTGGTGGGGAGAAAGGGGCCTACTGAGGATTGACCTGTAGAATCTGGTGTGTGCTGGGCAAGCATTCTACTGCTGAGACAGGGTTTCACTATGCAGCAAACTTGTGGTCCTCCTCTGTTGGTATTACAGGCATGTGCCACTGTGCCCAGTTCCTCTTTTACTTATTTTGAGACAGGGTCTCAACAAGTTAATTAGGCTGGCATTGAACTCACTAGCCCCTGCAGGCTTCTAACTTGTGGTCCTCCTGCCTAATCAACTGTTTGATAGCCTTAGGCTCAGCATTTTTGTTTTGTTACACAGCGTTTCATGTGGCCCAAGCTGGTCTTTTAGCTGAAGGTGTCCTCAAACTCTTGATCCTTCTCTTCCTCCTGAGTGCTGGGATTATAGGCCTGTGCCACACACACCTGGTTTATGTACTGCTGGGGATCCAACCCAGGGCCTTGTTGCAGACATTACCAGCCGAGTTACATACATCCCGGGCCCTAGACCCAGCCTTTTGCATTTCATTCCGCACAGACCTGACCCCCTTCTTCCTGACCTCTGGTTGGCCAAGGTCAAAGATGCTAGAGGTCACTGGCACTGGGTACTGTGTAGGCAGGACTTCCCTCTTCAAGGCCTGCCTGCTGTTTGTGCCCTCAGGGCTTCGCTAGGTTCTCATTCAGTCAATGCTGTGTTTGTCCCTTTACCCTCTTCTTTATCCGACTGCCACTTGTATGTTTCCAATAGGTTCGCCAACACAACCCATGAGAGCGTCAACTTCACCCTTCACACTACCCTGGGTGCCACCACGAAGCTGGTGCTCCCGACACCTGCCAAGCCCATCCTTCCAGTGCAGACAGGGGAGCAGGCCCAGCAGGAGGAGCAGTCTAGTGGCATGACCATTTTCTTCAGCCTTCTCGTCCTAGGTGAGTAAGCCTGGGGTGGCTGTTACCTGTTAGCTCTTTGCTTCCTGAAATCAGAGGCCTAGCAGTTCTGAAAAGCCTTTAGTGCAGTGTTTTGGCCTTTGAAAGAAAAAGCTCTTCCCTCCTCCTCTCTCTTCCTCTCCTTCTTCCTCCCTCTTCCTCTCTCCTCCTCTGTTCTCCTCTCCCCTCTTTATGCTTCCCCCTCACCTTACTAAAGAAAAAGAAAGAAAGAAAAAAGCTTTTTTTTTAGACGAGGTCTCGATGTACAGCCCTGGCTGTCCTAAAACTCTGTCTCTGTAGACCAGGTGGGCCTCAAACTCATGAGATCCACCTGCCTCTGCCTCCTGTGTGCTAAGATTAAAGGCGAGCGCCACCCTGCCTGGCCAAGAAAGAACTTTTGATGTTGTTGGTGTTTTTTGTTCTTTTTACTCTTTGTTCTTTTGGGGGCCCGCCACCCAGCTCCCAAATAAATCACACACAGAGGTTTATTCTTAATTATAAATGTTCGGGCTTGACTTGTTTCTTGCCAGCTTTTTTTTTTTTTTTTTTTTTTTTTTTTTTTTTTTTTTTTTTAAAATTTATTTATTTAGTATACAGTGTTCTGTCTGCATGTATGCCTGCAGGCCAGAAGAGGGCACCAGATCTCATTACAGATGGTTGTGAGCCATCATGTGGTTGCTGGGAATTGAACTCAGGACCTCTGGAAGTGCAGTCGGTGCTCTTAACCTCTGAGCCATCTCTCCAGCCCCAGCTTTTTTTTTTTTAACCTGAATTAACCCATCTACCTTTTGCCTCTGAGCTTTTTCCTTTTCTTCTGTATATGTTACTTTCACTCTTACTCTATGGCTGGCTGGGTGGCTGGCCCCTGATGTCTTCTCTCCTTGTTCTCTTTTTTTCTCTTCTCTCTCCTACCAGATTTCTCCTTTTATTCATTCTCTCTGTCTGCCAGCCCTGCCTATCCTTTCTCCTGCCTTGTTATTGGCTGTTCAACTCTTTATTAGACCATCAGGTGTTTTAGACAGGCAAAGAATCACAGTTTCACAGAGTTAAACAAATGCAATATAAAGGAATGCAACACATCTTTGCATCATTAAACAAATGTTCCACAGCATAAACAGATGTAACATTTTGATCTGGACAGGTGTGGTGGCTTGCACTTGTAATCCAATTGCTGGGATGGCAGAGACAGGAAGATCCCTTGGGAGTCATTGGCTAGCCAATCTACTTTAATCAGTGAGCTCCAGGCCAATTGGAGACCCTGTTTCAAAGAAGGTGGGACGCATTTCTGATGGTAACATCCAGGATGTCTTCAAGCATCCATAAGCACCTGCCTATCCACTCAATTTTTAATAACCAATCTGAAGCCATATAAATACTTTAGATAGTAGTTCTTAGCCTGTGGGCCGACCCTTTCACAGGGGTCACCTGAGACCATCAGAAAACACAGATATTTACATTATGATTCAGAATAGTAGCAAAATTACAGTTACGAAGTAGCAATGAAAATAATTTTATAGTTGGGGGTCAGCACAACATGAGGAATTGTATTAAAAGGGTCCCGGCATTAGGAAGGTTGAGGACCACTGCTCTAGATTATCGAAGGAAGAAGCAGCTTAGGGAGTGTGATCCAAGTCTGTGCTTTGCCGGACAGTAAAGCTGCACATTTACTACTCTGCCTTTCTTGTTTTTTTTTTCTTCCATGTTTTTTGGAGACAGGGTCTTAGGATGCTCAGTCTGGCCTTGAACTTATTATGTGGCAGTCAACCTTACTATCCAGGACTGTGGGGGTCCAGCCCCTTGATAGTCCCATCCCAGGGTCTGGGAAGAATCTACAACCAGCTGATAATTTAATCTTTGATGAAAAGAAATGAATCTACATACATGAAACTCCTTAGTCCATTTACTTTATTATTCTGAGTCAGTTCTCTCTCTACACAGCTTCTATTCTGCTCTCATGCCTAGCTCCTTTCTTGCCTGACTTCTCTCTACATTTATCTGCTGTCCCCTCTGAGTTCTAACTTAATTCTCTCATCTCAGTTCTGCCCCATCTAGGTTCTCATCCATCTAGTTCCTTCCCATCTTAGCTCCTCTCCCATCTCCTTCTTCCTCATCTTGTTCTTCCTCATCTGGCTCTTCCTCATCTTCCATCTCATTCCTCTAGTACTCTCTTCTAGCCCTTCAGTCTAGTTCTTCCCCATCTCAGTTCATTCCTCTCCAGTTCTTACCCGTCTAGTTCTTCCGTTCTCTTTTTTCCTCTCTCTCTCCTCCTCTCAGTCTCCTGATTCTCTCAGTTCTCCCCAAGTCTCTCAGGAATCCAGTTGTAAACTCAAGCAATAGCAACCCTCTGGCAGAGCAAGGTCACCAGGCTTGAACTCTTACAAGGTTATGAAGTCAGGTAAGAATTTTCCTCAGACAGTGACCACCAGGCTTTCTTTTACAACCCAAAAGGGGAGTGGTAAAGGAGGAGGTCAGTAGAGAGCTAATGATCAGTTAATATATCAAGAAGGATATTTGTGTGCTCAGTCTACATTCCTAGAGGTGGTTAGGTAAGAAATTAGGAGTCTGTTAGTAAGGCTGTAAGGAAGGAGGGTCTCACCCTAAATTGCACAAGAAATAAAGCTATCCTCCTGACTTAGGAGACAGGTGTTGTTTCTTTTGGCCTTGGATGCTTGATAGGTATTTTAGATAAATACACTGTTAGGAGGTCTTGGAAGCACACATAGCACTACAAGAAAATCACTGTAGGAACCAGCTAATATGTATACAAAAGCTAAAGCATCACCAAGACTTCTTAAGCCATGGCTTGACCTTTGGAGAAGTCCTTGACTTTTCCAAGTAGTAGCTTTTGTGATAGCAGCTGAATTCCATGACGTTTTCCTGCAGCTTGCAGCAGTTTACTTCCCAAGTACTGGGGTTATGAGCATGTACCACCACCCGAGGCCTTATTACCATCCGTTCTTCTTTGGTAATACCAGAGTAGTCTTTTGGATTAGACATTTCCAGGAGAGCAGAAGGCAGAACTGGGTTTTGAATATTTCTTTTCTTGAGATAGGGTCCAATGTAGTTCAGGCAGGCCTTAAATTTTGTAGCTGAGAGGAATTGACCTTGAACTTCTGACTCTCCTGCTTCTTCCTTCCTGTTGCTGGGATTGCAGGTATACCACCATGCACTGTTTGAGTAGTTTTCTGAAGTCTATTAGGACTAGGTTTTGAAGACAAATATAATTTTTTTCACATTTATATTCAGACTGTAGTAAATAGTCAAAGAATTGAATTGAACAATATAGTAATGACTGATTCATCAACTGGCTTATCTTTTGTTTTTTCAAGGCCCAGGCTGGCCTCAAATTCTGGACAGTCTACCTGCCTCTCCCTTCCCAGTGTTAGATCACAGGTGGGTGGCGCCACCATACCCCCTCTTTTGTAACAGCCCTGGAATAGCAAATCTTTTATCAGAGGAAGAAATGTTTAGTGTCTGAAGTTTTCTCTGAGCGTGTTGACCAGTGGTTGCAGTTAGAGGCTATGAGAGAGACCCCTGGAAAGGACTTTTTTAGCCCTTTGTTTTGGAAGGTCAGGCACAGAGGCATTGAAGGTCACTTTGAGGGTGTAGAGCACTTAAGCTTAGCTTGACTAGAGACCACAGAACTGGCCTGCAGAATGTGCTTTCTACTCTGACTTGCAGCTGCTAACCCCCCTTGGGGCAGAAAGGGCTGCACCGTGCTCAGAGTCTCCCTGTTCTCTTGGCTCATTGGCTCCCTGTTTGTTTGTTTGTTTGTTGTTTGTTTGTTTGTTTGTGACTGGGTCAAACTGTGTAGCTTTGGCCTGGAACTGAGATAGCAGCCTTTGCCTTCCCAAGTGCTAAGATTCATAGTGTCTGCCACTATGCTGGGCTCCTGGGGTGATTTTGAACTCCTAATCCTCCTTGCCTCCACTTCTCTGGATCACTGGCATTTGGCACTACACCTGACTCAAAGGCATGGTTTTTCCTGTGTCTCTGTGTTATCACCAGCCATTCCTGATTAGGTATCCAGACAAACAAAGTTAGCCTGATAAAGGGAAACTACTACTAAGTGACTGAAGAACTCTGACTTCCTGTAACCCGCTGGTGCCTAGTGTCCTAGTGTTTTCTAGACCTTGGGAACCACTTTGCAGCCACACAGCCCCCACTTTTGTTTCTGTTTGAGTGAAGTCATTGGGATTGTAATCTAGTTCTCTAAGCTTGTCACAACAGTCCAGCATGGCCCCTTGGCTGAGAATGAAGGCTTTACCTTGCATTTAACCCTCCATGAGCTTTGACTCCACAGGAAACAGTGAATCAGTTAACATTTAACCCTGTCTGGCATAAACATTCTCGTTAGTGAGTCCTCACCAAGTGAGGGCAGGAAGGTGGAGAATCTGGTTAGCTCTAAATAGATGTGGCTGAACACGAAATCCCACCAATCCCTGAGCTTGCCCCAAGATCAGACCACAAAATGCATACCTGAATAGACCATTATAACTTCAGGAATTTTAAAAACCTTGATCAAATATATGTTGTTAAATCCTGTTATCCATAAACCTTGTTCTTGATTTTATCCCCATCTGTTATTTTTCACTGTCATGGCAAAAATCATCATATAAAAATCTATCCTAATTCAAAATATTTTGAAGGCCTCCTGTTGCTTGTTAATGTAGGGAACATTAAACAAACCATCCTGGAGATCTGGTGTTGCCTCCTTAGTCTACAGAAGGAGATGCAGTGATAACCAGAGGGCTCAGTGGGACTAGTTGCCTTATTGGCGCTGCTTTAGTTGGTTTATACCTTAACCAAGATGGTGATAAAGTCACATGGTATGCCCTCTCTTTAGCCTTAGTGATGACAGCTGCTGCCCACAAGGTTGCTTCCATCCTGATGAGGCCATCAGTCAAGATGGCAGCAGGCCAAGGTGCTGCTATTTACTCCATGGTGAGCCCATCAGGGACCCAGCCTCTTTTTTTTTTCTTTTTCTTTTTAAAAGCATCTAT